GGCGTTCGGCTCTCTGCACCCGGAAGTGGGGAATGTCATCCAGGGGCGGCCGTTTTGCATTTTCCGCCCGCCGTCGCGGGGGCCAGCGCGGCCACTTCTCTCCACACGGGCTTCCCGCTGGTGAAGGTTGTAGGTGGCTGCCGCTTTTTCCCCAGGTTCTTCGGGAGGGGGGCGTTTTGGTGGGACCCGGGGCGGGGGGCGAAGGGCGTCCGTGCCCTTTGTTTTTGCGGGCAGGAGGCGGGGGCCGTGGGCGGGGCCCGGGCGGGCCACGCCCCCGCCCCACCCACCTCTAGGCAGCCCAGGGCCCCGCCTACCTGAAGAAAGGGTTTTTCAGGTCCAGGAGGTTACTGGACTTGGAGCCCGTCTGGTCCACCTGGGCCACAATACTGATGTCGTAGCTCTGTCTGCAGGGGCGGGCAGGGCAGGGCGGTCGGGAGCCTGCTGGGCCCAGGGGCCCGACCCCCGGCCCCGGGCGGCCAGTCCCACCTCTTGTTGGCGATCAGCAGACAGGTCCCGGAGAGCGTGTCCCCCGCCTTGGCGAACAGCGGCGACTGGAACAGGCACCGGACCTGGTACCAGTGCGTCAGCGGCTCTGTCGGGGCCGTGGACAGCCACACGGTCATTCTGCAAGGAGGGACAGGCGTCAAGCTGCCGCCGGGACCTGGAGCTGGAGCCAGGCGCACGCAGGGCACGGCACGGCCGGGGCGCCGGCCCCCAGCACCCGTGTGCCAGGGCCCGGGAGGCCGGCCGGCAGACGGCGTCTGCTCGCAACAGGCTCTCACCGGCCCAAGTGCAGTGCCTGGGCTCAGGGTGCCAGGCCGTGGCGCGGCAGTGGGGTCAGGGTGCAGGGCCACGGGGCGGCGCTGGGGTCAGGGGGCGGGGCCCTGGGGCGGCGCTGGGGTCAGGGTGCTGGGATCGGGGCGGAACCTTGGGGCAGCGCTGGGGTCAGGGGGCGGGGCCGTGAGCAGCAGGGCCGCCCTGTGCACTCACATTGAGCCGATGAAAGCGACGTCAAACCAGAAGGCCAGCCCGTGGACCAGCCCCGAGTGCAGCATGTGGAACTTGAATGGGATCTCTATCCTGCAAGGGAAAGGCAGTGGCTGCTGTCTGGGGAGGCTGGGGCACGGCCCCCCGCCCCCTCCCCCCGCCTCCCTGTCCCCCTGCCCCCCGCCCCCTGCCCCCCTGTCCCCCGGACCCCCCTGCCCCCCGCCCCCTGCCCCGGGCCAGCAGGAGGCGCCCGAGACCTCGGCGCGAGCCCAGGTGCGAAGCGGGGGTGGGTGCAGGCGCTGGTACCTGTGCAAATCTCCCTCTTTGGCTTCTAAGAAATTCACGGTGTACTTGACAGACTTGGCCATCAGGATGCGGATGTCAAACGTGTCCTGGGAGAGACCACACAGGCGAGCTGGCTGGGGGCGGGGCCGGCCGGGGAGGAGAGCAGCCTGGCTGTCCCACCCTGGCCGTGGCCTCCAGGCCCACCTGCCTGCTCAGTACACTGAGGGGCGGACGCAGCAGCTCGGCGCCGCTGTTCAGGGCCTGGAGCTGCCAGGTTCCGCCAGCCGTGGAGGGTCACGTCACCTCCACGTGAGTGTGCACACGCACAAACTCACGTGTGATGGGGTCAAGGTTGGCAGAGGGCCCCGCACAGGGGCACTGGCATCCCATATGGGCACCAGTTCAAGTCCCAGCTGCTCCTCTTCTGATCCAGCTCCCTGCTAATGTGCCTGGGAAAGCAGTGGAGGACGGCCCAAGTGTTTAAGTCCCTGCACCTGCGTGGGAGACCGGGGAAGAAGCTCCTGGCTTTGGATTGGCTCAGCTCTGGCTATTGTGGCCTTCTGGGGAGTGAACCAGTGGATGGAAGATCTTTCTCTTTGTCTCTCCCTCTGTCTGTAACTCTCTCAAATAAATAAATAAAATCTTAAAAAAAAAAAAAAAAAAAAAGGTTGGTGGAAAGATGGAACTCAACAATGTTTCTTTTGGTACAGATCGATGGCGCAGGGAGTGAGCCCGCAGATGGAGGGTCTCTCCTGCCTTTCCCTCTCTCTAACTCTGCCTTTCAAATGAATAGAAAATAAATAAATAAAGATAAGCTGGGGCAGACAGTTGGCAGAGCAGTCCGCACGGAGGGCCTGGGCTCTGCCCCAGTTCTGCACTCAGCTTCCTGCTCCACCGTGGGAGGCAGCAGTGGCGGCTCCAGTGCTTGGCCCCCCACCCCCACCCCCGACACGGGAGACCTGCACTGAGTTCCTGGCTCCTGGCGGCAGCCTGGCTGCTGTGGGCATTTGGGAAGTGACCCGGTAGTCGGAAGATCCGTTTCTGTCTCTCAACCTTTCAAATACATGAAGTTCCCGAAAGTGAATTTGGGTGCGCGTGGAGGAACTCGGACATCCACGCGCAGGAGGCGTTGGGTCCTGGATTCCACCGCAGAGCACCCAGGTACCCAGCTCCAGCCTCCCGGGAGGCCGCGGTGAGGGCTCGAGTGGTTGGGTCCCTGCCACCCACGCGGGAGACCTGCCTCCCAGCTGCCGTCCCAGCCCAGCTGTGCCCGCTGCAGGCACTTTTGGGTTAGGCCACCGCCTGTGACGCCGCCACCCCATGTGGGGCCAGTTCCTTTGCCCGCTACTGCACTTCCGATCCAGCTCCCCGCGGATGGCCTGGGAAAAGCAGTAGAGGATGGCCTGGTGCTGGGTCACGGCCACCCACGCGGGAGACCTGGAAGCAGCTCTGGCTACATCCTGGCTGTTGCAGCCATCTGGGAAGTGAACCAGAAGACGGAAGCTCTCTGTCTCTCCCCCCCTTTCTACAACTCCACCTTTCAAATACATAAATAAATCCTTAAAAAAAAAAAAAAAAAAAAAAAAAAAAAGCAGACGTGTGGGCAGGCGCTGTGGCACAGTAAGTTAAGCCGAACTGGGATGCGTGTGTCCCGCTACCGGAGTGCCTGGGGTTGAGTCCCAGTTCTGCTTTTTTTTTTTTTTTTAATTAGACAGGCAGAGTTAGACAGTGAGAGAGAGACAGAGAGAAAGGTCTTCCTCCTGTTGGTTCACCCCCCAAATGGCCACAACGGCCGGCACGCTGCGCTGATCCAAAGCCAGGAGCCAGGTGCTTCCTCCTGGTCTCCCATGCAGGTACAGGGCCCAAGCACTTGGGCCACCCTCCACTGCACTCCCTGGCCACAGCAGAGAGCTGGCCTGGAAGAGGGGCAACCGGGACAGAATCCGGCGCCCCGACCGGGACTAGAACCCGGTGTGCCGGTGCCGCAGGCGGAGGATTAGCCCAGTGAGCCGCGGCGCCGGCCCCTCCCTCAACTTCTTTACAACAGAACAACAGGATAAATAGAAATGCTGTAAGATGACAAGTTTGTGTCCAATCAGACCTGGAGTTACATTAAATGCAGGTGATCTAAATATTGTAATAGACACGAGTTAAGAAAAAACAAACCCTAATTTACATGCGGCACAGAGCAAACAAGCCTTCTGAAGACAAAAACAGGTTGCAAGTGGAAGGATGGATAGAGATCTGTTAACCAAAGCCACAGAGCTGAACTGCTTTCAGGAAAAAAAAAATAAGACCTCGGGGCGGGCGCCGCGGCTCACTAGGCTAATCCTCCGCCTGCGGCGCTGGCATCCCGGGTTCTAGTCCCGGTCGTGGCACCGCATTCTGTCCCTGTTGCCCCTCTTCCAGGCTGGCTCTCTTCTGTGGCCTGGGAGTGCAGTGGAGGATGGCCCGAGTGCTTGGGCCCTGCACCCGCATGGGACACTGGGAGGAAGCTCCTGGCTTCGGATCGGTGCAGTGCTGTGGTGGCCATTAGGGGAGTGAACCAATGGAAGGAAGACCTTTCTCTCTGTCTCTCTCTAACTCTGCCTGGCAAAAAAAAAGACCTTGGGCCGGTGCTGTGGCATAGCAGGTAAAGCCACCCCCTGTAGTGCCCGCATCCCATATGGGCGCTGGTTCAAGTCCAGGCTGCTCCACTTCTGATTCAGCTCTCTGCTGTGGCCTGGGAAAGCAGTAGAAGATGGCCCCAGTCCTTGGCCCCTGCACCTGTGTGGGAGACCCAGATGGAGCTCCTGGCTTCAGTTCAGCACAGCTCTGGCCATTACAGCCAACTGGGGAGTAAACCAGCAGATCGAAGACACCTCTCTCTCTCTCTGCCTCTCCTTCTCTCTGTGTGTAACTCTGACTTTCAAATAAATAAATAAATCTTAAAAAAAAAAAAAGAAAAGAAAAAATAAGACCTCAAGGTGAGAAGTACTATTAGAGATACCTCACATTGTCGAAGGGAATCCAACAGGAAGCTTTAAAACCCTACGCCTGTATGCACCTAATAACACAGTGTCAAAATCAATAAAGCAAAAACTGTCATGTAATGAGACAGAAAAACAAGCCAGTAATTAATAACCTAGGGAAGGCAGAGGGGAGAATATGACCACCGTGATGAACAGAGACGTGTGACACTCATGTGACACTGCCCGTGGCAGGAGATGAGACACCTGCTTTGCAGTGCCACAGACCATGACCCAGGCAGACGACCAGCTGGACTCGGGGAATTCCCGGCAAACTCCACGGGACTGCCATCCTGCACGTCTCCCTGCCTGCCGAGGGACTCAGGCAGAACAGGATTCTGGCTATGGGTACAATGTCACATCCTGAGGCCTGCACAGCCGGCCGCAAGTCAGGTCAAGCTGCTGCCTGCATCGCCAGCATCCCATGTGGCGCCGGTTTTGAGCCCCGGCTGCTCCACTTGCAACCCAGCTACTGCTAGTGCTCCTGGGAATGCAGCAGAAGGTGGCCCAAGGGCTTCGGCCTCTGCACCCTCATGGGAGACCTGGATGGAGCTCCAGGCTCCAGGCTTCACCTGGCCCAGCCACAACTGTTGTGGCCACACGGGGAGTGAACCAGCAGATGGAAGAAATATGTATATCAGAGAGAGAGAGGGAGGGAGGGAGGGAGAGAGGGAAGGAGGGAGAGAGAATCCTAATATACACACATCGGTGGGAAACCTCTATAATGCTTTTAGGCAGGGGAACAGTGTCTGGATCGGGGTGGGGAGGCCTTCCCCTTTCACGCTCATCTGAGTTTTGAGCCTCGGGTCTGTATATTAATTTAAATATCCTGGGGACCGGCACTGTGGCATGGCAGGTAAAGCCACTACCCGCGGACAGCCAGCATCCCATATGGATGCCGGTTCGAGTCCCGGCTGCTCCACTTCCCATCCAGCTCCCTGCTAATGCACCCAGGAAAGCAGAGGAGGATGGACCCAGTGCTTGGGCCCCTGCACCCACGTGAGAGTCCCGGATGGAACTCCTGGCTCCTGGCTTCAGCCTGGCCCTGCCCTGGCTGCTGTGGCCATCTGGGGAGTGCCTGGGGAGTGACCCAGTGGAGGAAGCCCCTGCCGTCCCCGCCAGAGGATAGGGCGCGCTACTCACCACCACGGGCTGCCGGAAGTACTCGTCCACCGCGGCGCCTCGGAGGGCCGACAGGTCCACTCCATGGAAGGATGGCTGGTACCTGCGAAGGCCCCCAGGCCGCAAGGTCACCCGCAGCAGGGAGGGGGCGGGCAGGGCGGCCCGGCCCCGCCCCCGCGCCCCCCTCCCGCGCCCTCACCAGAAGTTGGCCTTGGTGAACTGTTCCATGTAGAGCTGCTCATCCGTGAAGGGCGCCAGGTGGACGTCGCCGATGGTGGGGAACATGTTGCCTGCAGCGGGGCAGGGGGGTGGGGGGCCGTCAGCACGGCCAAGGGGCCTGCCTGGCCGCTCAGTCACCTCTCTGCGCCCACCCGTGGCACCTGCGGCACCATGTGAGGTCGGGGCGGGGGGCTGTCCCATGTCCCAGGACTAGGACTGGGGGCAGCCCCACGGGAGAGCACGCAGCTCCGGACAGGGCGAGCCCCGGGCTCCGCCAGTGCTGTCGGGGCTTCTGCTGAGAACACGGGCCGTGAGGTGTCAAGCCGTAGCCCCCCACCCCGCTCTGGGAGCAGGAGCGGGCCCCTCCCCCACCAGAGGCGCGCGGGCCAGCAGCGGCAAGAGCTGCGGTTCCAGAGGCACTGGCTGCTCGCGGGGAGCACCTGGCCTCCAGATGTGGGCCTCCCCCGCCCGTCCCTGCACAGGAAGGAGGCCCAGGCGCCCGTGGTGGGGGGCAGGGGGCTCTCCCTCAGCTGCATCACAGCCAGACTGCACTGGACCGGAAATGCCTGGCCCGGGGCTCCCAGGCCACATGCAGGGCTTCAGGGGCGCTGTGGGGGACCCCGCGGAAGAGTTGAGCTGGGCCGGACTCCCAGCCGATCTCAGTCCCACAAGGAGGGCAGCCCCAGCACCCATGCCGAGTGTAGGAGAGCCGGCTGGGACTCGGGACACAGCCGCCACCACGTTAGTCCCACCGGGTGGGTGCTGCCGGCACAGCCCGGCGTAGCTGCCAGTCCCCGACACCGGGGACTCCTGGGGCCACACAGACTGTGGTGACAGCTGCCCACCTACCCGGAGGCACAAAGACCCGGGCCAGGGGCGCAGACAGGAGGCGACACACGGGCTCGCGGGCAGCGGCCCCCTGCGGCGCACGCCGGCACGCCGGCCCACCTCCCGGGCCCAGGGCCCTGTCCCAGCCCGCGGCGCAGGCCCGCGGTGCTCCCGGTGCGCAGGGCGCTCACCGCCCGGCCGCAGGTACTTCTTGGCGTGCAGGTAGCTCTCCAGCATGCGCTCGTTGAAGAGCATGTAGCCCATGGGCTCGGACACGATGATGTCCACCTGCTCGGGGAGTGAGACCTCCTCCACCTTGCCGGGGATGACCACGATGCGGTCGGTCAGGTTGTTGCTCTTCACCAACACCTGCGGGCGGGGCAGGCGGACACGGAGCTCAGGGCGCCCCTCTTCACCATGCTCCCCCCTCGCCCCCGGCCACCCAGCCAGGACCAGCGGGCACCGACCTCAGCGTGCTGGGCCATGGTGCTGGCCTCCACCGCATAGATCTTCCTGGCTCCCGCTTGGGCGGCAAAGAACGACAGGATCCCGGAGCCACAGCCGACGTCCAGTACAATCTGAGGGAGGAGGCCGGGCGGGCGTCAGACCTGAGCGTGGGAGCGCACCTGCCCCTGCTCGGAGGCGGGGGCTGGGCACGGGCGGCCCTGGGAGCTACACCCCAGCTGCCCCCGGCCCATGCTGGATGCCTGCCTTTCACCCCACTCTGGGTCTCGGCGACGAGCGACCCTCTGGGGAGAAAGGGCCCGGGGGAGGGGCGAAAGGTGGGACACAGGGAGGCACCTCCAGGCTGTGTGCTGAGCACGCCCTGAGAGGCGGGGCAGCTGGGACAGGTGAGGCTCCCAAGCTCCGTGGGGCACCTCCCAGGGCTGCCCGTGACCTTGACACTCTACATGCTGGATCTGTGCGATTGCTTCTGTCTGAGTAGAACGAGGACATTTCTGGGGGTGCCTGTGGGGCTTCCATAGGCAGCTCTGGGCACGGCAGCTGGCAGCACCCAGAGCACCCAATGCAGGGAGCTGCTGGGGGGCGTCCTCAGGTGCCCCCAGAGCCCTGCACACACCGGGAAAGGGGTGTGTCTCCCAGAGAGCTGGGAGGGCCCCCGGCCCTGCTGCAGCGAGGCTGGGAGCGGCAGCCAGGAGGCAGTGCGGTGGCCCAGCCCGGCTCACAGCGGCTGCCCCAGGACCCCAGGCCCAAGCAACGCCAGGGGGCAGGCGCCAAGCGCAGACAAGGCACATCCACTTAGATCCACGAGCGGAGCCCCCACGTGAGCTTCCATCTGATGCAAGAGGGGAACCAGGGGTGGGCATTTAGCCTTGCAAAGGAAACATCCGGGGGCCTGGGTTCAAGTCCCGGCTCCAGCTCCTGACCCCAGCTTCCCGCTAAGGCGCGCCCTGGGAGGCAGTGGTGATGGCTCAAGGACTCGGGCCCCTGCCCCCCGCCCGGGAGACTCTGTTCCCAGCCCTGGCTTCAGCACCCCGGCCAGTGCAGGCATCCGAGGAGTAAGCCAGTGGACGCAAACCGAGAGGGGACAGGTTAGGAGTCCGATGCCGGGAATGGGCGCGAAGGGAGCACGTTCCCACGTGTAAATGTGCGTGCTCCGTGCTGCTCCTTTAATCACCTGGTATTTGGTGATATTACAGAGCCTTTCAAAGGAGCTGGGAAACTGACCAGAATTACGGTACACGCAGCCTCTGTCCCCAGGGTCCCGCATCCACGGACTCGATCCAGCACGGATCAAAAACAAGAGGGGAAAAAAATCAATTGCAGGCTAAGTGGCTGCTCGCGACTCCAGCATCCCATCAGTGTGCCGGTTAGAGGTCCGGCTGCTCCGGTTCCGATCCAGCTCCCTGCTAAATGCCTCGAAAGGCCGCAGGAGATGGCCCCAGAGCCACACAAGAACACCAGGCGGAGCTCCCGGCTCCTGGCTTCGGCCTGGTTCAGCCCTGGCCGTGGCAGCCGTCTGGGGAGTGAACCAGCGGATGGAAGCTCGCTCTCGCGCGCTCTCTGTCACTCTGCCTTTCAAAGAAATGAACAAATCTTTTAAAAACTGCGGGTGTACTGCACATGTCGGGAGTTCTTTTTTCTCTTTTTTTAAAAAGATTTATTTATTTTTACTTGAAAGTCATAGTTACACAGAGAGAGGAGGGGCAGAGAGAGAGAGAGAGGTCTTCCACCCGCTGGTTCACTCCCCAGATGCCCACAAAGGCTGGAGCTGCACTGATCCGGAGCCAGGAGCCAGGAGCTTCTTCCAGGTCTCCCACATGGGTGCAGGGGCCCAAGGCCTTGGGCCATCTTCCACTGCCTTCCCAGGCCACAGCAGAGAGCTGGATGGGAAGTGGAGCAGCTGAGTTTCGAACCAGCGCCCGTATGGGATGCCAGTACCGCAGGCGGCTGCTTTACCTGCTATGCCACAGCGCCGGCCCCAGGAGTTCTTTTCTTGTCATTATTCCCGGGCCCAGCAATCCAGTGTGGCAACCATGAACCCAGCACTAACATCGGCTTAGATGCTGCACGCCATGCAGGGACGACTGGCAGTGTACGGCAGGGGCTGGCGCCGTGGTGCTCTGGCTTCAGCCCCCATCGGCAAGGCCAGCTTCCCACGCGTCTCACTGCTCTGCTTCCGAGCCTGCTCACCGCGGGTGCACGCGGGACAGCAGCCGAAGCCCCAGGCTCCTGGATGCAGCCTGGCCCAGCCCTGGCCACTGGGGCCACGTGGGAAGGAACCAGCCCATGGAAGATCTCCATCTCTCCTTCATCCTCCCCGCCTCTCTCTGTCTCGCCCTCCCTCCCTCTCTGCGACTCTGCCTTTCAAATATAAATAAATAACATTTTTAAGTATATGGGAGACGGGGCCGGCGCTGTGGCGTAATGGGTAAAGCTGCCACCTTCAGTGCCAGCATCCCATATGGGCGCCAGTTTGAGCCCCGGCTGCTCCACTTCTGATCCAGCTCTCTGCTATGGTTTGGGAAAACAGTAGAAGATGGCCCAAGTCCTTGGGTCCCTGCACCCGTGTGGGAGACCCAGAAGGAGCTCCTGGCTCCTGGCTTCGGATCGCATAGCTCCAGCCATTGAGGCCAATTGGGGAGTGAACCAGCGGATGGAAGACCTCTCTCTTTCCCTCTATCTCTATCTCACCTTCTCTCTCTGTGTAACTCTGACTTTCAAGAAATAAATAAATCTTTAAAAAAAATAAAGTATGTGGGAGAGAATGTACACAGGTTTCAAACAAATACTATTTCACCTTAACTTTTACTTATTTTATTTAAAAGGCAAGGACCAGAGATGTCCCCACACACTGCTGCACTCCCAAATGCCCACAACGCTGGGACTGGGCCAGGACAAGGCCAGGAGCCAGGAGCTCCACCCAGGTCTCCCAGGGGGGTGGCAGAGACCCAAGCACCTGGGCCCTCCCTGCTGTCTCCCAGGGTGCACGTGGGCAGGGTCTGGACTAGAAGCAGCAGTGGGAAAAGAATGCAGGCCCCACACGGCATCTCTCTGCGTCAAAGCATGCACACCCCACTTCACTTTATGTAAGACACGCGACGAGGAAGTCCCTGGCTCCGGCTCTGCCCTGGTCCTTGCCCTGGGGGAGTGACCCAGTAAGTGGGAGATGGCTCTCGGTCACTCTGTCTTTCAAAGAAGTAAAAATGGACAAAACGTCATGTTGCGCACTTTAAAAACACGGCCCCTTGAAATAGTTCGTGGGAAAGGGGAGGCAAAGCTCAGCTTATTTGGGTGCACAATGTTCTGAAACTCGTGCATAGTTTGTTTCTAATAAGTGTCTGCCGGGGAGTGGAAGAGGAGGACCCCTCGGTCACAGTCACATAGGAGCCGACCGATGTCCGAGGCACCGCCGGGAGAGAGCCTGGTGTTCCGGCACCCGGCTCACAGGCTCAGGGCCTAAATCCCAAAGCCCCTGCCGACGGCCACGTGCGGAAGTGACATCTGGCGGCTCGTGTCACCCATGGAGCACACGGGGTGCAGCTGATACCCCTCAGACCACAGAAAGCTCGGGACACGGAAATCACAGGAACACGAGGCGTGGGAGTCAGAAATTTTTTTTTTTTTGCACCAAATAAACTTGCTTTGTTAAAGATCTGATTATTTATTTGAAAGACAGAGTTGCAGAGAGAGACAGACAGATAGACAGACAAACAGAAAGAGAGGGGGCCGGCACTGTGGCATAGCGGGTAAAGCCGCTGCCTGTGGTGCTGGCATCCCATAGGGGCACCGGTTCGAGTCCCGGCTACTCCACTGCCAATCCGGCTCTCTGCCATGGCCTGGGAGAGCAGCAGAAGATGGCCCAAGTCCTTGGGCCCCTGCTCTCTCGCTCTCTCTCTTTAATATTTATTTACTTATTTGAAAAAAAAAAAAAAAACAGTTACAGAGAGGCAGAGAGAGAGAGAGAGAGATCGATCTTTCATCCCCTGGTTTACTCTCCAAAGGCCACCAAAAACCAGGAGCCGGGACCTCTATCAGGTCTTCCAGGCAGGTGCAGGGGCCCAAGCACCTGGACCATCTTTGCTGCTTTCCCAGGCCACAGCAGAGAGCTGGATCGGAAGCGGAGCAGCCGGGACTCAAACCGGCGCCAGTATGGGACGTCAGTGTCAAAAGCAGACTAACTCACTGCACAATGCTGGCCCCTGAACTTTTCTTTTAATTCCTTTACTCCACTAACATTAGGGAGCACCCGTTTATGTTCAGTCCTCTGCTTTTGCGATCCCCCCATACTTTAAGATAGAAATCAATGAGCAGGCACTGGTGTTTGGTGCAGCGGTTAAGAAGGGACTTGGGGGCCGGCGCTGTGGTGTAGCGGGTAAAGCCACTGCCTGCAGCGCCGGCATCCCATACAGGCGCACGTTCGAGTCCCAGCTTCTCCACTTCCCATCCAGCTCTCTGCTGTGGCCTGGGAAAGCAGTAGAAGATGGCCCAAGTCCTTGGGCCCCTGCACCCGCGTGGGAGACCCAGAAGGAGCTCCCGGCTTCAGATCGGTGCAGCTCTGGCCGTTGCAGCCAATTGGGGAGTGAACCAGTAGATGGAAGACCTCTCTCCTTTTCTTGTATACTCTTTCAAATAAATAAATAAATCTTAAAAAAAGGGAGGGGGTGGGGACTTGGGACAACTGCAGCCTGTACTGGAGTGCCTGGGGCCATGTCAGCTCTGCTTCCGATTCCAGCTCCCTGCCAACGCGCACCCACGTACTTGGGTCCCTGCCACCCACGTGGGAGACAGGGAAGAGTTCCGGGGTCCTGGCCTCGACTTGGCCCAGCCCTGACTCCCTGCGGGCATCTGGGGGGTGGACCAGCATGTAGGACACCTCTGTCTTGGCCTCTCCGTCCCTACCCCCCACCCCCGCGCAGTGCCGGGCCCAGCTCGCCTTATCCTTGAAGTCGGCATGGTTCTGCAGGATGGCGCGCTGGTAGGTGCCGGTCCGCACGTAGTCCTGCATCATGTTCTGCTGCTGGGACAGGTAGCCGTAAAACTGGAACAGAGACGCGCCATGGCACAGGGCTCGCACCGGCCCTGCCACCTCCCCTCGGAGGCCACGCCCCCGCCCCAGCCGGCTCGCACCTGCTGGCTCCCTGCAGACAGGGAGCAGGACGGCCCCAGCTGGGTGCCGTGTGGACCCGGCAGCACCCCAGCCCCGCCCCCAGAGGAGATTCGGGGTGTGCCCCAGGCGGGGCTCTGGCATGGGGGGCCACCTGCCCCACGCAGGGGCCCCAGAGAAGAGCAGGAGCGGATGGAAGAGCGCCCCGGAGCTGAGGACGGCGTCTGTCTGCAAGACGCCGGGCAGTCGGGAGGCAGCGTGGCGCCGGAGCAGGGCCACAGGCTTTGGCCGCAGGCAGACCTGGCTTCCCAGCTTGGCTCTGTGGCACAATAGATGGGTGACTTGGAGCAAGTCACTTAACCTCTCTGAGCCTCAGCTTTCTCATCTGAAAAACGGGACAATGACAGCACTTACCTCCTAGACTTGTTGGGAGGCCCCAAGCGCTTCTGGGCACAGAAAGCGCTCAGACGGGTGCCAGGCGCGCGGCAAAGGCTCGGCACCTCGCCACTGCTCTACCATGACCAAAAACGCCCGGGCGCCTGCGCGGCACCTGCACTCAGATCCTCCCAGCAACTCCCTGGGGCCGGCACCCGTGGCTCCACTGCACAGATGAGGAAAACTGAGGCCCACCAGGCGGAGGAGGACACTTGCCCACGGCCACGAGCCAGCAGGGGCAGAGCCAGGACGGGAACCCAGGTGGGCCTGCCCTGTGCGGCACAGCCTCCCGGGCGAGCGGCGGCCCCAGGCCACAGGACGGGCACCCACCCACCTGGAAATACTGAACAGCCGAGGACTCCTCCGTCCGCTCGCTGAACACAGACCGCTCCAGGGTGTGGCCCCGGCAGGTCTTCAGGATGTTGTAGAAGGAGCAGAAATCTGCAAGGGGGAGGGGCGGGGGTCACGGCGGGCCGCGCACTTTGCACCAGCGTGAGCTGGAGATCGCTTTCACCCCAATCCGTATTCAGGTTTCAAATACAGGACGGGTGGCCGTGCTGGGGTGACCCACATGCTGGGCGGGGACAGGTGTCCAGGGGCGCACCCAGGGGCACCACTGAGCCTGGGCTCAGACCCGTGGCACCCAGCGCCGTCCACCGAGCAGCTCTGTGCGTGCGTGGCAGGGGACACGAGAGCAGCCCTCGATGTCCAGCGCCAGGGGACCGGGGAATCCCGGCGGACACAGAGGGGCACAGAGCCAGGGTCACGTTGGGCCGGCGCTGTGGGGCGGCGTGTTGAGCTCCCTGTGGACGCGTCTGGCTGGGAGCCCCTCCTCTGCTCCCAGTCCCTGCTGGTGCAGCCCCGGCAGGGTGATGGCTCAGGTTCTTAGGTCCCTGCCACCCGCCCTGGGGACTCAGAGGGAGATGGGGGGGCGGGGCCACCTACCACTGGGAGTGGCGAACTGGATGAGGACACTGTTGCAGCCCAGGGTGATGATGAAAGACTGCTTGCCCACGCGGCTGCACTCCGTGTCCCGCGACACCGAGCACTTGAACACACACACGTCTTCATCTGCGGGAACAGGCTGCGTGAGCGGGGCCCCCCCGTCGGCCGCCCCACGCCCCCCACCGCACTCCCCCTGCCCGTGTCCCTCCACATCCCGCTCAGCACGCCCGAGTCTCCCTGGGCGCCAGCACAAGCCAGAGGCAGGTCACGGAGCAGGCTTGGAGACACAGCGAGCCTCATCTCAACCCGGCCAGTGGTGGGCGCTCCTCCAGGGCGGCTGACGGGGCCACCCGGCCCACAGGCTGGGGACAGGCTGGGGAGACGAGTGGGGGCTGCGAGGGCTGGAGTCTCAGCCGCTTCAGTGATTTCAACGTGACCATGACACTGGGGTCTTTAGACCAATGCCCCCCATCCTTAGAACACGCATGTGGGGGCGGCGTTGTAACATAGCAGGTAAAGCCACTGCCACCTATGCCCATAGGGGCGTAGGTTTGAGTCCCGGCTGCTCCGCTTCTGATCCAACTCCCTGCTAAAGCGCCTGGGAAAGCAGCAGAAACTGGCCCGAGTGCTTGGGCCCTGCACCCACGTGGGAGACCCAGAAGAAGCTCCTGGCTCCTGGCTTCAGAACAGCCCAGCTCCAGCCATTAGAGCCATCTGAGGAGTGAACCAGCAGATGAAAGATCTCCCTCCCTCCCTCCCTCTCTCTCATCATGCCTTTCAAATAAATAAATCGTTTAAAAAATAAAATAAAAATAAAATTAACAAAAAAAAGATGTTATGGGCAAAACCTGGTCCTACTCCAAATTTATGTTAAAAAAAAAAAAGACACTGGTGGAGATGGTGAAAGTGACTTCCAGCAGCTGGCTCTAGAAACCGCAGCCCTGCCGGAGGCCAGCGCCCACAGAGCAGCAGTAACACTGTTCCCATGTTTCCAGCTGCCAGCACAGCCCAGGAGGGCCCAGCCGCCACCTGCCACAGCAGAATCCCCTAGGAGAGTGCGATTCCAGCCCCCCCCCGCTGCTCTGCCTCCCAGCCAGCTCCCTGCCAACGCCGCCGCCGGAGCAAACAGCAGCAATGGACCGAGTACTTGGGCCCCTGACACACACCTGGGGACCCCCAGGGAGCGCCTGGCTTCAGCCCAGCCCTGCCCTGCTGCTGTGGGCATTTGGGCGATGAACCAGTAGATGGAAGAGCGCTCTCTCTCTTTCTTTCTTCTTTTAAAATAAATAAATTTGGTTTTTAAAATTTTTATTTATTTATTTATTTGAGAGGTAGAGTTACAGGCAGAGACACGAAGAGACAGAAAGGTCTTCCATCCTCTGGTTCACTCCCCAGACGGCCACAATGGCCAGAGCTGGGCCAGAGCCAGGAGCCAGGAGCTCTATCCGGGTCTCCCACGTGGGTGCAGGGCCCTAAACACCTGGGCCATCCTCTGCTGCTTCCCCAGGTTCATTAGCAGAGAGCTGGACTGCAAGAGGAGCAGCCGGGACACAAACTGGTATCCATACGGGGCGCTGGCAAGGCGGCGGTTTAACCCACCACACCACAGCACCAGCCAATCAATTACACCTTCAAAAAAACAAAAACAAAAAACAGCAAGGCTGGAGGATTCATATTTCCCAATTTCAAAATGAGCTATGCTGGTACAGTGGCCAGTGCATTAATAGTAAACCAAAACCCAAAGCGACTGATGGCCCAAACCGAACAGCTAAAACGTGAATGTTCTTAGGAGAAGAGCATGCAGGGTAAATGGGGGACCTGGGATTTTACGGCGGATCCCTAGACACAACGCCTAAACCGCACCATGAAGGAAAAAGTCACAAACCGGACTTCATCAGATTTCAAACCTTTTGTGCCTCAAGAAGAAAAGACAGGACGAGGTGTGGCCCCTACTACTTTAATGCCCCGGGAGGCAGCAGGTGGGGGCCCCAGGGCTTGGGGATGGACCAGGATGGAGTTCCGGGCTGCGGGCCTCAGCCGGGCCCAGCCCCGGTTGTTAGCTGTTGTGGCCATCAGGGGCATGAACCTGCAGGTAGAAGCTGAGTCTGTCTGTCTGTCTGTCCCTCCCTCACACGGTCACACTGCCTTTTAAATAAATAAATAAGTAAAGCTAAAAAAGGAGCAAGGGGAGGAGGCACGCCCATCTCTGCCTGGGTGAAGGCAGGGTGGGGGCCCACGTGCCAGTCCTCAGGGAGGTGCCAGTGCCCGCGGGGAGAGGGAGCCCCCCCCACGCTGCCGTCACTGACAGGCGGCCAGGGCGCTGAAGTCCACGTCCACGAAACACTCAGAACTGGGAAACGCAGAGATGCACGGACACGGGCAGCAGCCGCTGAGCAGGCCCGGGGTGGCGGAAATGGTTAGCCAGGGGACGGAGAGGCAGGGGCCCCACGCTGGGAACGCCGCTTTACAACAGTGTCAGGTTACGTGAATAAAAATGTTGCCAATATCAGATTGAACCAATGGGGGGCATGGGTATTCCCTGGCCACAGGCCAGGAGCGAGGGCTGGGGGGGGTGGGGGTGGCCATGGCCCAGCCAAGGGGACCGGGGCCAGGTGCTCCCAGATCCAGCTACAAGCGGCTCAGGAAAGACTCGGAGCCCTGGCCCAGGCACCCCCCCCGGGGGGGGGCACAGAAGATGCAGCTGAGCTGCCCACCGTGCCCGGGCAATGACACAGGGACCAGGACCCTGGCGCCAGGCAGACGACCGCGGCACCTGTGGCTGAGTGACCCCTGGCAGTGTCCAGCAGCTGGGACCGGGCGCGAGCTGACCTGCAGGGCCAGCACTCCCTCACCATCCCAGCCAGACCCCCAGCCCACCCTGGCGTCTCCGGGGACACCTGGGAAAGATCTGCCACGTCAAACACCCAGCGGGCTAGACCATCCTTCTTGCTTGCAAGACGCTCGGCCTGGCCCCTGAGGCCCTCCGGCCCGCGCCCCTGCCCCAGTCACACACATGAGCCCCCTGCCCCACCCCCACAGGCCCCAGGCCACTCGCCTACGTGACCCAATGTGTAAGTGCACACCTGGGGACCAGTCCCCGGCCTGGGGTCACCTGCGGCCACCCAGCCTCGTGGCTCCAGACTGAGGGTGGGGGGTACAGGTGCCAGGGGAGGGTGTCTCCTCCCTCCAGGAGGGGTGGTCACCCATCCCCTCCCCCCGACAGACCCTGTGCTGTGTATCTGTAAACCTCAGGTCGACCCCAAGCTGGCATCCGCCCTAGTGGCGAGCTCTGGAGGTGGCAGGAGAAAGCCCCCCCCACCCTACCCCACCCCCCCGTGCAGGTCCCCAGAGCACAGTGACATGGGCAGTGACTCTGGGAAAACGCCCGGGGGGGAGGACAGAAGAGGGAGAGCAGTTGAAGAGGGGGCTCCCTGGCCAGCAAGCTGTGCTGGGTTCTCGCTGACCCAGGGCGGCTGAGCCGACACAGGCCCCACCAGAGTACGCACACCACGGCCGTCCAGGCCCGCTCTCTTGCCTGCCCACTGCACCCCATCCTGCTGGAGCCTGGGCTTGGCTCAGGGACCCAAAGGCAGGGGCCAGCTCCACGGGGCAGAGCCCGACCCCCTTCACGTCACTCCTGGGACTGTCTGCACCCCTGGGCTCGCTCAGAGAGGTCAAGAAGTCTCTTGCTCGAGGTCACACAGCGAGAGCAACAGCACTGCTGGGCTCCAGGGTCCCTGCTCCTAACCAGCGCGCGCCCCAGGGCGGGGCCCGGCCGACTTTCTCGGCCACCCTTAAGGCTACAATGGCTCCATACTGCCTTGAAGCAGTGAGCTGGTGAGGACGTGTGTCAATAAAACTTTACTGACACATCCCTGCAGGGCCAGGCGTCCAGGTGTACAGGTGCAGAGGTGGGCACTGGCCACTTCCCACTCTGCTGGCCGCCGGGCAGGTGCTGGGGGCACCTGTGGCTCAAGGTCACAAAGCAAGCAAGGGCGCTGCTCTCCCTGTCCCTGCCACCCCACGCTCCACGCCCTGGGGCCTGGGAGGCTTATCCCAGGGGGCTCTGAGCTCCCAGGGGCCGTGCCTCAGCCCGTTAGCAGCCCAGCCTGTTATCTCGCGGGGCCCAGCTGCTGTGGTCTCACCTGCTCTGCCTGCCACGGCCCCAGAGCTCCCACACCGGCTGGCCCGGGCCACTCCCTCAGCCCCAGACCAAGGGCCGCCGGCCTCCCTGCTCCCTCTCCTGACTCCGAACCACCGCCTCCGGGAGGTTCTCCAGTGTTTGCTGGGCAAGTCCCGACGGCATGGAGGCTGCGGGCACGGCCCCGGCAGGTGCGAGCGCTCACAGGGACAGAGGCAGGCAGGGTGCAGGGTCCAGGGGCATCAGAGGCCTCATGGATCCAGGGGACACACAGCAAGGCTCCCCAGTACTGCTGCTCCCCCACTCCCCACCGCAGGCTTCCAGAAAACATAGAAGCAGGATCCTTGGCCCCTCAGGCTAGACAGACCCGGAGTCACACCCCCTCCATCCCTGGGCCAAGAACAAGGAGCGGGGAGGGGCCGACCACAAAAGACCCCATCCCATCCCCTGGCCTCTGCAGTGGACAAAGCAATGATGCACGCAGGCGGAGAGGATAAATTTGATTAGGTTCCTGAGCTGGAGACCACACCCTCCGCCACGCCCCCTGTGAGCTCATGCCCCTACCTGACCACACCTGCACGCCCACCCGCCCATCAGGCAAATCCCACCAGCCTCTGCCTTAGTCTGCTCACCAGCTGGTGACTGGGACACACCTGAGGGGTGGGATGACAGAGCCCAGCCCCCGGAGCCCGGCCCCATACCTGCCTGCACTCCTCTAGGGCCCGGCTGCAAGGTGGGCAAGAGGAGGAGCCCCCTGCTGCGAGGTGGTGGGAGGCTTGGCAAGGGTGGCAGCCGGGAATCCTGGCGCGGCCTGGCCCCGCGCCCCGCAGTAACCCAAGCTGGTGCCTGCTGGGCGCAGCTGCTGTCGCACTCTGCCCAGCCTGGGCTGTCTGAGGCCCCAGAGGTCACCCTGGGCTCCAGGCGACCCCGCCCCCAGGCCGCAGGGTGACACCAGCGCTGGGCGACCCTTCAGAGGCCCCGAGCC